CGGACACCTGGCTGAAGTGTAGAGAAGATCTAGGCACTCTACAAAAATTCCAATTACCACGCTTCGTTGCCAACGACGCAGACAATATCGAACTTCACGGATTTTCGGATGCCTCAACCAAGGCGTATGCTGCTGTGGTGTACAGCAGAGTTACAAATGACGACGGATCCATCTCGGTGTCCCTTGTGGCTGCGAAGACAAGGGTGGCGCCACTGAAACAACAATCTTTGCCACGCCTGGAGCTTTGCGCAGCACTTCTTCTAAGCCAACTCATTCGGTCGATCTCTTCTGGATTGCGCCACAAGAACATAACTGTTTTTGCCTGGTCTGACTCATCAATAGTGCTGTCCTGGTTATCTTATGCACCAGCCCAACTAAAGACTTTTGTTGGAAACAGAACCTCGGAAATCCTTGACACTATTCCTCGGAAAGCCTGGCGGCACGTAGACTCCAAATCAAACCCAGCTGACTGCGCCTCCAGAGGTCTGATGGCTGCTGACCTCATCGACTTCCATTTGTGGTGGAATGGACCTTTGTGGCTACGGGACCAGGATCAATACCTGGTAAAGTTGAACGATTCACGTTTTGGTTTATCTCTTTCAGACAAACGCATTCAAGGAGAAGTCAAGTCCAACTGTTTGGCTACAGTGGCTGTTGCAACTCAGGTTCATCCGCTAGATGAGCTGATCGCACGAGTTTCTTCTTGGCTCAAGCTCGTTCACATTGTCGCCTATGTGAAGCGATTCATTCAACGCACACAAAACCCGTCCTGCGATAGGACCTCGAAAGCTCTTACGTTTGGAGAGATTAAGGCAGCTAGGATCATCTGTATAAAACACGCGCAGCATTGTTTCCACGAGGACTACCAATTGCTCCTTGCCAAGAAACCCCTAAGGAACCGATCGCAGCTGGTCAAACTTGCACCAATGATAGACGAAAACGATTTGCTGAGGGTAGGCGGAAGACTGCACCAATCGCAGTTGTCACGAGAGGCAAAACACCCAGTTTTGCTACCAAAAACGCACCGAATCTCGAAGCTGATCCTGGAACACGAGCACCGAGTAAATCTTCACCCTGGCGTTTCTTCCCTGTTCGTAATCGTTCGGCAGAGATTCTGGATACTTGGAGCACGTAATCTCATTCGCAGAATAACACACGACTGCTTATGCTGCTTTCGTCAACGCCACCACACCGCCCAACAACAAATGGCTGATTTACCCAGCGTGCGTGTTACTCAAGCCCTTCCATTTGTCAATACTGGTTGCGACTATGCAGGTCCAATCCTTCTAAAGGATGCCAAAGTTCGGAAGCCACGTATCAGCAAGGGCTACATTTGCCTGTTCGTCTGCATGGTCACCTCGGCCATACACCTGGAACTTGTCACAGACCTGACAACAGAAACCTTCTTGGCTGCCTTGCGCCGCTTCATATCCCTACGTGGCAAGTGTAGCAAGATCTACAGCGATAACGGAACCAACTTTATTGGAGCTAAGCGATCCCTCAACGAAATGCAAGAATTGCTTGCATCACAGCGACATAAGGACATCGTCACATCCACTCTGGCAGATGACGGAATTCAGTGGGTACTCATTCCCCCTAGAGCTCCTCATTGGGGAGGGAAATGGGAGTCGGCAGTTCGCTGCGTCAAACTGCATCTGCGCCGAGTCACCGGCAACTCAACGCTCACCTTCGAACAAATGCGCACCTTGCTTGCTCAAATCAGCGCAGTGATAAATTCACGCCCCTTATGCTACACATCTGACACCGAAGACAACTACTTATCACCCGCCCACTTCTTAATTGGGCGACCGTTAACAACAGTGCCAGATCCTGACTTAAGCCACATCCCTGTGGGTCGATTAGGATATTGGCAAAGCATCCAGGCTATGCTTCAAGGATTCTGGAAACAATGGCATCAGGAGTATCTGACTACTCTGCAACAACGTCCGAAATGGACCACTTCAACACCCAACCTCTCGATCGGTGATGTAGTTCTCGTTAAGGAGTCCAATACGCCACCAGCATCTTGGCACATCGCACGGGTTATGGAAACCTATCCAGGGAAGGACAACCTCGTTCGAGCAGTCAAGCTGAAGACATCAACAGGAGAGATGACCAGGCCAATCACGAAGATTGCCGTTTTGCCCAGTTCAGAAACTGTGTTTCAGGGCGGGCCGGGATGTTCCTGAACGGTTGCAGTCTTTACTAATCTCTCATTATTAGGCGCATAATGCCATCTCTATCCTCTGTAATAGAATATCGATATACATATATATATACCATTTTTCGATTCTGGCAACGCTGCTACGACAGCGTCTTTTTGTGAAATTCAGATCAGTATCAAATAGGCTTCGAAACCGTCAAGAATAAAAATTACATACAGTCCACACAAATCGTTTATACAATATTTCTAACCACTAGGTCTTTGTTATTTTTAAAATTTCTTTTTAAATATTAATATTATGTAAAAGTTTCAGGTTAAGGGATTATTAAAAATATTATAAAATTTTTGTTATATCTTCAATTTCCTATTGCACACTTCATCTTTAACCTTTAAATGTTCTATTACTTATTTATTTTCTTGTTTTCTATCAAGGATTATTTGTATACTATGTCTTAAGTTATATTTATATGTATTTATTTTTTATTTTAAAGCTTTATTAGCTTTCAAAATATTTTCAATACTTTAAAGATGTGTTTTATTTACTTCCAACTCCTTTGATGTCATATTAAATCTTACTTCAACCCTTAACTTCATTACGATTTCCTTGATAAAGTTTTCTCCGTGTACCGAAACAAAAAACCGAGGCTTGTCACTTTGACAAATGACATTCGCTGAACTAAATTTAGCTGCAATTTGCATTTGGGATAATCAATTCTCAGACACCCGAGTTGCCTCTGGGAAGGTGCGATAGGGGTGAAAAATAAACACAACCCTCCGGATGGGTTATGAATACTTTTGTCACCTCTTTTGTCGCCAAGAATTTCGCACGTGGCTTCATTTTGCAAAAGTTTTAAATTTTCATGTGTATGTAAACGAATATTGTTGGGCACACAAAAGTTTGATTGATTTGGGTTCGTCCTTGTCCTCAGCCCATTGATTGATTCGCCTTTGGATTAGTGTTCAAAAACTTTGTTATACGTTGATTGGTTATTTGATATTCATAACGCTGCGGGGGGTGGGCAAAAATAAAAATAAAATTGAGAGCGACTCGAAGGTGCCAAGAAAAAGAAGCAGAAGACAGCGATGACGATGTCGGAAATCGAGGAATCGGCGCGTGCCGGTGGATTAATGTAATTACGCTTGTCGTAGGTTGTTAAGATGGATAGCTAGATAAAGAGATGGATGGGTGGATGGTCTGGTGTCTGAATAGGCTGCAAGGTAATTCGATGCGTGCTGAACTGGATGAATGATAAAAGCGACTGAGGGAGGTGTTCATCACGAAAACGAAGCAAACAAAGAAGTTCAAAAAAGTGTGTTGAGGTAGGTTTATGAACCATAAAAAAGAGAATATTATATGCAAAGGCTTTAAAATGAATGAAAAGTTTCTTCCTTGAATAGAATTTATTATATGATGTTTTAAGAATGATTAATATTTTATAAGATCCGTAAAATATTTGATCTTCATAAGATTTTTATAAGTAACATAAAGCCTTATTTTGAGACAATTTTCGTAGTACAACTAAAGCCAAAACTTAAGTTATGGATAAGGCTTATTTGAATACTCGAAAACTGCTTTAAGAAATCTATAATTTCGTAAGTTGCAGCTACCATTAAATCTAAAAATATTCCTGTTTTAATAAAACTTTTTAATTGACAATTAAGTGACCCCAATTAAATAACAATATGAACTCCAAATGGTTACCTCTAAACGTTTCTGATAAATTCGTGTGAATATTTTAAGCCAGCCAAATCTGAAGGCCTTGTGGTATAAAAACCGCTCACGCGATTGTCATCAAACGCAATCACCCACAAATAACCGTCATTAAATGCAACCATACACACATACGCGAATATAAAAGCCAGTCTATAAAATGAAACCATCAATTACAATAATAGCAACAAAGACAAAAACAACGGAAAATACAACAACAATCAGAGCACGCGGAAGTGTTTACAAAATGTCAAAGCGAAAACAAAGACTCGAAGAAAGAGCCGAAGAAAGAGGTAGAAAGACTGGCGCCCTTCTCCCGAAAAAGAGTTTCTCATGTCAATTTGGAGATTTCGAACCGAACTGAAAACGGAAAATGTCAATATCAGTGGCATTTGTCCTAAGCCAAAAAGAAAACATTAGAGCGAGAGGCACTTAAGATGCTGCGAGTTACGAGGGAAGAGAGAAGACCTGACATGCACTGCGAGAAAACAGAGTCACAAAAATGGTGAACTGCTTACCAATTTTTTTTTGAGTAGTTAAAAATTGTTACTTATATTTTACTAAAACTTAGTGATAATAACTTTTTACAAAAATCATATAATACCTACTTATATAGAAATAATGTAAATATAATAATATAGCCCTTATTATCAGCGTCCAAATTTAAATTCCTTGTTATATCCGTAAAAAATCAATTTGATGGGCAATAAATACACATCGAAAAAAATAAAAACTTTTATTTTTTAAGAAAAAAACCTTAATATTAGGAAGAACAAGGTTTTTGTAATCCGTATAGTCTGCTTTTATTACTCGTATTGTAAAAGGGTATACTAGATTCGTCGGAGAGTATGTAACAGGTAGACGGAAGCGTTTCCGACCCTGTAAGGTATATATATTCCGATCAGGATCCGACTATTTACCGCTAGTATCTAGCAAGAAGTTGCTTAGCTGAGTAAAGGGTATCTAGAGGGACTCTAGCGTTTTCTCTTGTTCTTATGCAATCCTTACAAAAAGAAATTGCATTTGTAAATCCGACTGAACCAATCAAATTATATGACTCGATGGGGAATCTAATTTAATCAGTATACAGAGTATAAATAACACTGACATTCTGAAACAATTTTTGATTTGTGAGCCACTTTCCAAATGAAGTTCTTGGGTAAGTAACAAATATTATTTTCTTAAAAACCTCGTTAATTCTCTTAAAGGTTTGATATTATTGGCCACGTCAGTGACTTGCCGATTCACCGATGATTTGTACAAACTTTTGGCCAAAAGTAATGCGGGCAAGAACCTTATTTCGTCGCCTCTTTCCGTCGATATTGCTTTGAGTATGGTCTACATGGCCGCTGGGGGAAAGACAGCCCAAGAAATGAGAAACGTTTTGAAACATTCCACGGATAAAAAGGCAGTGGCTCGTAAATACAAGGAATTTCTGACAAAGCTCGAAGGTCGCGAAAAGGTAGCCATCCTCGATCTGGCCAACCGCTTATTCGTAAACGATCTCTACACTTTAGTTCCGGAGTTTAATCAAGTGGTCAAAGATTCCTTTAAGGCCGAAGCGCAGGCTATCAGCTTAACTGATTCTGAAAAAGCCGCTTCGATCGTCAATAAGTGGGTGAATGATCAGACGCGCAGCAGGATAAAAACCGTTGTTGAGGGATATGATATGTCCTCGAGTTTGATAATGGTTCTCGTGAATGCAATTTACTTCAAAGGCCAGTGGCAGTACGAATTCGACCCTAAAAATACCAAAGTGGCCGATTTTCGATCTGCTGACAAAAAAACTGATCCTGTTCAGATGATGTCGCTCGTGGGCACATTAAGGGTGGGATTAATTCCGGACTTGGATGCCAAAGTAATCGAGCTTCCTTACCGGAATTCAAGCCTATCAATGGTCATCTTTTTGCCGGAAAAAGACGACGGCTTGCCAAAATTGGAGCAGAAGATCGCAGGCTTCTCTCAAAAGCTGAAAAGCCGGGCCGTGAATTTAAGGCTGCCAAAGTTTAAAATCGAATTTTCCTCAGAGCTAAAGGAAATTCTTGCGACGGTAAGTATGACCCGATATTTGTGGGATCACTTTTATAATCTGCGTCTATAGATGGGCATACGAGATGCCTTTGCGCGTAGTGCGGATTTTGGAGGTCTAGTGAAAGCGTCAGGAGCCAGCATCAGCAAAGTCACACACAAGGCTTTCATTGAGGTTAACGAAGAGGGTGCCGAGGCAGCAGCTGTAACAGGTACACCTGATTTTCTTAGAAGTCCCACTTTGTACGACATTTGTTGAAATTGCAGGTGCTGGAATTGGAACGAGGTGCCCAACTTGCAACGCCTTCCGGTTCAATGCCGATCATCCATTTGCCTACGTCATTCGCGATGAGGACACCATTTACTTTCAGGGACACTTCGTAAAACCAGAAAGATTAAGTTAGTAAAAGGAAACGGAAATAGTGCTCTCTCCGTTAACCCATTTTTAAGTGAATAAGATAATAAAAATAAATCTTACCGATATATGACGAAATATTTGCCTAATGCCTTTGTTATATCGAACCAGAAGAATTCCAAGTTCGACAGTTCCGAATGCTAAGATCCTCACTCTATCCAAAACGACCTTCGATTAGCAGCTTGCTCACTACGTTCGCTACTCATATCGGCCCCACCCTGAGCTTTAAATGTTTCAGTAGTACTTTTGTAAGCCGAACGAATTGTGGTATGCTACAATTGTATACGCTGATATATATAAAGAAATTACTAATATAGCCACGTTGTTTTCATGAACTGCGTATTAGAAATCGGCATTTAAGAGCTGAATTTAAAAAAATTATTTTCATGCTATGTTGCGTCTCTAAATCGATCAATTTTCGATCTTCTAGCGATGAACAAAAACCGCCTGGTAACGAAAAAGATGATCCAATACCCATAACGCAAAATTCTGCCTAGCGCCCACATTTAAAAATATTTTGTAAAAGTGCAGATGTGATTTTATTTAAAATTTTAATATCCATCTAAATGCCAAAAATTGTTTAGTGTGAACCATCCATTTAAAAGTTATAAGAAAATATTTCAAACGACGCTAGATGGCGCTGTTGCGGTGTGTGCAATTTTGGGAACAGTCGCTGCTATCTCCCTTTATGTAACCCATCAAATATGGTTTTTTTAGTGTGTTTAGTTTTTCTGCGTGTAGCTCCTCCACTTGATGTATTGTCTCAGGCCGCTTGATTTATCTCTTGGACGCATTTCACACAGCGCTGAGTTGGTAATGAAACTCCAATCAACAACGTGGGATGACCACTCGAGGGTCAGTCAGTGGGTTATCGAGGGGGGAAGCACTCAGTCTGTGGCTGAGATTCGGTCCCAGACTTTTTCTTCTTTCTTTATTACCATTTTTTCCTGTGCTCATTGTTTGAGTGTCTTGTAACTGTAACAGCAATGCAGACAGGCGACGGACTCGAAAGACGGAGACTTCGGTAGTTGCGTAACGCAGCCAAAAGTGGAGCAGAGCCGTCGCTTTCTCCTCCCCCAACACCACATTCTGTCTTTCTTTTTTCCGCATTGTGAGAGGATCTTTTAGTTTTCAGAGGAAGGTGGACTTGGGGTTATTATTAAGTTATTGATACGATTTAAATCGAGAAATTTATTTTCCCTAAAATTTTCTGGGTGTTTTTAAAATATTTTCGTAGATTTTAAGACCACCTTTAGATTTACTATTTTCAAGAAGTATTTAAAATAAGTTTAATGATAAAATGATTTTTACTATCACATTTTTTAAGTACAATTTGCTTAAGGAGTGAGGAATTGTAAAGATTGGAAATTGATAACTAAGATTCAACCAAATCAAAAACCTGTAATACTTTATTTTATGTACAAAACATGAACAGAGATCAATAAAATTGTGCAGGAATGTTTATATTGATGATTTTTGATTAATTTGAGAATTAGATATTACCTTTTTAGGTTAATATGCTAACATTTAACATTGAATTTTCTGTGTCAGGGTATCTAAACATCCTGTTTGCATTACTTCTCTGCTGCTGTTGTTGTTTTTTTCACTTTCTGACAAGTGCATGATGCATTGCCTTTCGGTGGCCGAAAGTGGGTGAAAGGCTCTCTGGGTTTTTGGTGGATGCTGGAATTGCGACCAGAGTGGCTGTGCTATCTGTGCTGAGCAAGTGACTCTTAATTTACGACTTGGGGACCCGGCGACGACCACGATAACAATTTGTCAGCTTAATGGCGCCGAAGGATGCGCGGTCTGCTTTTTCGCATACCGACTCCTTTTCCCGCAACTTGGTTTCAAAAGAAACAAGGAAGTGTTTTTCGAGTGCAGCGGACTGCGGAGTGAGTCTCCATTTTCGGGTGCAACGACCAAACAACAATTTTTGTGCATTGCGTTGATTTGTTTATAATTGCACTGCTCCACTCTGCACCACTCCACACCACTCTACTACTCCGATCTGATCCGATCTGCCCAGCTTTACTCTGCTCTGCTCGGTGGAATGCAGGCGGTTCGTGACTTGCTGAGCGAGACGAATGCGAAACAATTAGTTGGGGGACTGAAAGATATGTAAGATATAGTATAAAAACAAAGTTTGGAGTAAACGTAGAGCAAGCAAAAGCTCTTCGGATATGAACTTTCTTGCACTGATCAGCTGATTTATTCTGTATGATAAGTATTTTAAACATATCTTTTATTAAAACTAGTTCCTCTGTTAAAATTGTGAATATTTATATAAAAACATGTAAAAGCTCAGCATACACCTCACAAAATATTAAAGAAACATGACATGACAAATCATTGTTCAAGAAAGTTATAACAATGAGATAAAATTTGATAGTCGAAATATATACCATGCAAATATTTCGTATGTCACAGAAGAAAATGTAAATTTTAAGCTTTTGGATTTAATACAATATGCAAAGAATTATTTTAAAACAATTTTCATGGAAAAATGTTCGGAAGGTATGTTTAGAAAAAATAATTTAAAGTTAAATAATAATTTAACATTTATACGTATACGAAGATGACTAATATTTTTTTCTGTTTATTTGAGGCTAGGCCAGAGTACAAACTATTGGACTCCAAGGGGAATACAAGTGGGGTCATAACTACAACGACAGTCATGCCCATGCAAATGTATTCATTAGTTTCTGCCGGCGTCTGCCTCACACATTCACACCGAGACACGCTTGAATTTATGCTAATCCGAATGCAAACACACTCCTCGGAGACCGCACCCCCTCTCCATCCGCTGCTCCAGTCACCAGGTCCTCTGATCCCCTCACTATATCTTGACTTTGACTTGGAGTAATCACCAGCAAGTCTCAAGACTCCGGCGACAATCGAGCTTGTTCAATTACGTGCTGCAGTTCTACACACAGAGAAAGGTTCATAAGGATTGGAAATACTAAAACATATTGAAAGATATATACACATTGTAAATATTTCTTACAATAGAAATATATCTATTACTTTATAAGAATTTTGAAGAGCAAAAGCAGAAAGACCTTTTTCTTTTATTTTGCAGTTACAACTCAAAAGGTTTCAGGTTTTTCTCTCTGTGCAAACTCGATTTGTGTCACTTGAAGCAGGATGGAGAGCCCCTCCTTCTCAATGTTTTACCGTCTCTAAGCTCGCTAGTACATTCGCATTTGTTTTGCATATGTTTTCATTAATCTTACTTAGAGGGAAACGGGGAAATAGGGGGAAACTGATAGGCCTATTTTGATCTGCAGGGGAGTTGCCCACCAACCTGATCGGAACCCCACACTGCCGCCTGTCTGATTGTTTATGATGATATAAGGGTAATCATGGCCCGGGTGGCATGTGCCAAATTTGCCGCAAGGTTAAAGAGTTGAGTTGAGTTGTAGACTGTGGGCGATCTGGGGACTGGAGATTAAAGACCTGGGAGGAGTCGCGTGAGAGGTATGGAAATAATAATTAATTATTGTTTGTTGGGTAAAGTAATTGTTTAATTCTTATTGGAGCTAATTGATATCAGATGAGGTCTGGAGATCAGATGGATTGTATGTTTGATATAAAGGTGACCTGATTTAAAAATAAATTTAAAATATCTGGTTTTATTTTAGATTTTAAAGTGTATAACATTATTGTTAGTTTAGACAAATTACTAAAAAGCCATGTCTTTAATCTTTGGTAGTCATCTTAGAAGCTATGACACAAAGACCCTAACTTACATCTCCGCTCTAAATGAATCTTCACCTTTTGGCGCTTCCCATAAGTAAAAAAAACCAAGTCAAGTCAGACCTCACCTTTAAATGCAAAATAGTTTATCACGCCCCCATCAATCAGGGCTAAATGTTAAATCCAAAAAGGAGGCAACGACGACGAAATCAATTCCACTTCTTGTATCTGAATCTGAATGAATTCAATTGTTTGACTTGGATTTTTTCCGGCGTCATCGCATTATCCAAATGCCATTTAAGTTTAACCTTTTGAGCGGCGGGTTTCAATTGAGGAGGAGCCCGAAGAGGAGGAGGTTTGCTATGCAAATTTCATGGCTACCAAAACCGCGTTCATCATCATCACCGTGGCTAAAAAGCCGCCAATTCAAACAATTCAATGCTACCCAATAATGGGAGAGAAAGATGATTTTCGTTTTTTAGGAAACCGCAAATTCATGATTTTTTTTTGTGTCATTATATCCCTCATTTAAAGTGCGCGAAACAGTAAATACCTGACTATCTCAATAGGTATTGTATGGAGATCGCAATAGATAGACAACAAAAGGGCCTAAAGAGACATGGCTACCGCATTGGACAACTATGGGTATTTTTTCAAGGAGTGCCAGACACAACAAAACCATTTTGCACACTTATTTCTTTGAACCACTTTTATGTCCAATTTTGGGGAGCCAATAATTTGAAGCTGGAAAGTTTGACATTCTTGCCTGGCGGCGGCATTCTTGTTAAGATTAGCACGATTACATCGATTACCATATAGTCAAGAAGGGGAAAAAATTGAAATTAGAGACCGCTAGACCGGGCTCTAACTAGTTTTATTCACTTTTTTATGTTTGCGCAAGCGTCTTGACAGCAACGACTTCGTTTTTAAGATTCCCGCGGCGCATCGCACCTGAAATTACAAATTTTGTAATTGCCAAACAAAGCGCAGAAGCCGAAAAAAAGGGGTCGAGTAGGAGGACGGTGCTGATGGCAGGGGAGGAGTCTTCGCAACTGGGACTGAGACCCACTGGGACCCACAATGCCGGTATTGCCAAGAAGGCAAGCGCTAAATTATAGTAGATACGAGCTCATGTTGCAGGCAAAAGGCATGTGCACGTTGTGCAAATCGCTGACAAAATGCGAGCCCGCATCGAGTGGTGATTACAATTTGCGGTGGCAACGTGAGGTGATCACAGTTCAGAGATGGGTCTACGCCTCCAATTCAATGAATTTACATATATTGTAAATTTAAATTGGGTTTTAATTATATGCTAATAAGAGAAATAAGTATTGAAAACCGAAAATGAAATAAACGATATATATATATAACATCAATATTA